CCCCCCCCCGCCCCGTCGGGCCGAGCCCAGCCCGTCCTCGGTCCTCGCGCCCCCCGCCCGCCGTCGAGTCGAGCCTGCCTGGGGCCCGAGGAAGGAGCGCTCTCGGCGACAGCGACGCGCCTTCGCCTTGCAGAGACCGCAGGGAGAGGACCGGCTCTTACGATCTCGTCCACCAGCGCCTGCTGCGAAAGAGGAAGGCTTCGAAAAGCGGGAAGACGCCCCGGCCAGCGCCCGCTCCAAGCTCAATGACGTGCGGATGCAAATTACCCTCACAAGTCCCTCCGGAACGTGGCTCAACCCCAGGCTTCCTCGCCGGCGCACGCCCTTTAAGATGCTCCTATTGCCGCGTGGAGTTTGTGGTGCGCAGGTGCCGCCAGGCTGGCCCCGCCTTCGCCCGCACAGATTGGGGGCTGCGGGTGTATCTCACCCTGTGGTTGGTTCCGACTGCTTGGTTTAGGTCGAAGCGCGCGGGGCGTCCTACAGGGTGGCTCAGCCTTGTGCAAGCCATGCCCTTCCGAGGATGCTGGAGTACAAATCCCATAGTCCTCAGCCATCAGGGGCCCGAGAAGTCTATCATGTTTACTAATACCTACTGTGTTTTTAAATATATAGAATAAAAAGTGAACTCCTAAATGCCCTAAGGTAGTTGGCATTTTGCCAAAGTAGGATTGCACAAAACTTCAACTTTTTATAATTAACTATTCTAATCATGTTAATAATATAACCCTGCGTCTATACTGATGTAACGCATTTAACTATTATAGTCTAAAACAGAAGATTGTAATGGCTTGGGAAGTTGGTAAATGCTATGTCCAGAGGAAGCTTTCCCTTCCAGAGTCTTTGCAGGTCCTTTATCTGTAAAATGCAAATTAGGATAGTTGATATCTTAAGGCAGGAGGAAGCCTCTAAGCTAAGTCACATGGATTGGTATTGGTTAGGTTTATAACCTCCCTTTTCTTTCAAGAGCTCAGGGTGGTGCACCTGATCACTAGTCTGATCCCCACCCTCCCGTCTACGGGAAGATTGAGTTCAGACATGGAAATGAGTTTCCATGGCTAAGGGTGGACTTGAACCCATGCCTCTCAAGACCAACATTTTTAACCACTGCACCACATTGCACAACTAAGCTTGAGTGTAAATCCCACTGAACGGAATCCCCCAAACCTCTGAGTGAACATGCTGAAAACTGAGCTCCAAGCACCTAATTCACATAAAAGGCCTCAAGTAGCTCAAGGAAGAATGGAATACAATGATTCCCAGCAAGATACTGGGCAAAAAGTAAAGGTGTCATCTTCACCGTTAGTAGTTAATACAGTAGTGCTGTTCCTATATGATAGAAGAGTGCCCTACACAAAGAAAACAAGGAGCGCATATGGTGCTGTGGCATATTTCCCAAAACTGATGAAGACTGAACCTAAAACCTTCTGTATGCAAAGCACTTGCTGTATCACTGAGGTACAGACATTTGCTACATGGGAAAGTTTGTGAAGTTTTCACCTCCACTTGAACCAGATCATTAACAATCCTAGTTTACTTGATTGTCTCTGGCTAAATTTAGCAAAGGAAGAAAACACTGGAAGCCAAATGATAGCACTCAACCAGTCTATCCCACTCTTTTTGACAAGCAACATGTTCTGGCATGCAGAATAGAGAGTTCTGAGATTACTTTCTCCAGCATCAGGAACTCATGCTGAATATTTTATAACACAATTAAGATACATGAACATGGGTTAATAGTGGACTAAGGATTCCTATGCTGAATTTTCTTTACTATAAACAGCCAGCCTCCCCATTTATGACACTGTTGGTAATAAAAATGACAGAATGCAATTAAGATTGTAGCAATAAATGCCTCTGCTAGATCATGAATGGTGAATGAAAAGAGCCCTTTTCAAGATTTAGAAACAGCATTTCTTCATCTATTCTACACATTTAGTGGTACAAACTTTTCCTATTCTCATTTCAGTGCAAACAAAATTGTTAAGTGTGCATGAGAGAATAACACATCCAACTATCATTAACATTTATTTACTGTACCTCTGCCATGTTAATATCAACACATGACTTACGACTGCTACAATGTAACCGTTAACATTCCTGGGCAATTTTTATTCATGCCCAAGAGTGTTCAGATCTTCACAGCTGCTACATGAAGTTGGCATTCACTAAAATACAGCAAAACGTCCTTGAGCTCAAAACAGTTCCAAAATGATTGAAACAGGGAATTTCAAATTTGAGCTGTTTTATACACGTCTATTCTTTACTTGTTTAGAATACCTTTCTGGCATTAAAAATTATTAGCTGTGATAAAAAAAATTGGAAAGTCTGGTTTAAAAGCATAGTTGCAAGTGTTTTTATTCAATTTATATTCAAGAATGTTAAGATGGTTAAAGCTTTTGGGGAAGTAGTGTTTTAAATTTTAAAAGGGGGGGAGCCCTAGAAGATACTTTTTTAGATAAAACATTGTAATTGGAGAGAACTGATTATTACCAGCATTTCTCAACCTTGGCAACTTGAAAGACATGTGGACTTAAACTCCCCGAATTACCCCCCCCCGCCCAGCTGGGGGGCGTGGTTGGGTGGGTGGGTCTAACCACACTACTAATTTCACAGGCGGGGGATGATCAGGAAAAATAAA